AAAATAAAATAAAATAAAATAAAATAAAATAAAATAAAATAAAATAACAGCACCACCACCCCACAGTAAAATAAAATAAAATAAAATAAAATAAAATAAAATAAAGGATAGAGGACTCCTGAAAAATAACACCAGCATTGTTGACTTCTGGCTTTTACATGCATGCACATAGGCATGTGTACTCACACATACGTGTGGACTACACACAAAAGATACAAAAGGGGAAAGAAAAACAGAGTTTTGTGGGGAAGTATGAAGGAGTTTGTCTGAAGAACCACTTACCATTTTCAGGAATGTCTCTTTGCCCAACACACAGCCCTGGGGGTGAAAAAAACCACTCATGAGGCATAAGTTCCTGCCTGGAGTCATGTGGTCATTCTCCCTGGTCCTGAGAGGCACCCGGAGAACACTATCATGTTATCACTTGGGGTTTCCCTCTCAGGAGCCGCATGCTTCCTACTCTGAGCTGTAGCTTCAGCTCATTTCTGGGATTGAGCGTTATCATCTTGTTGCTCTTATTCCAAGGGTCCCATCAGCTTGTTTCAGCTTACAGTCCTATAAACTCCCACAAACCTTTCCAATGTTCATCCCTATCCCCAAGCTTCATAAGTCACCATGTCTGCCAGACCATGGGTCACATTGTCTGGGTCATTACTTCTCCTCCAGGGAAGGGGCATGAGCCTTGTAGGACACTGGGGAGAAAAGAAGGTAACCTACTCCTGATGGTACAAGATCCCATGAGGGAAGATGGTCATGCTGGCATTTGCCTTTAATCGATGGGCTGGAGAGATAGCTCAGAAGTTGAAAGCACTGACTGCTCTGCCAGAGGTCCTGAGTTCAATTCCCAGCAACCACATGGTGGCTCACAACTGTTGGGAGCCGCGGCAGGTGCTGGCAAAGTCCGCCATCGCTAGGTGGCGCTATCAGCCATAATTCTTCCTAGTAAACAAGTAAATTGCGCATGTGCCATGGTAAAAGCCCGCCAAAGTTAAAGCCCATCCCACGGTGTTTGGCGCGCAACGAGTAAGCAGCCAATCAGAGGTGAATACACCGCTCTAGGGTTTATAAGCAGTGCCACCCCAGGTCTTCTTCGTCTTCTTCCACCATTTTGGTTTTTGGGAATAAACGTGTTCTTACGGAAGGATTCTGGTGTGTGTGTGTGTGTTCTTGCCGGCGAGACACTACACGCGCGCCTCACATTTGGTGCCGAAACCCGGGAGAATTTACCATCGCCGGCACTGTTTAAGAAGACCCTCCACTCCACGCGTGGAGTGAATCCAGAACCGTAGAACGAGGTAATGTTCTCTGAGAGACAAGTTTCGACTTGATTTATTTCGTCTCCCTCCCCAGTTGGCAGGAACCTTAGAGGCTCTCGCTATGGTGTTAGTATCGTTAGTTTTCTTCCTTCTGGTTCTCGTGAGGGTTCGGGGAGTGGTAGATGGATTACAAGTCAGCATGTCAGAAACAGAGAAAGAATGGAAGCGCCTAGAAATTCAGAAAGGAAAAGAGAAAAGAGATATATTAAGAAAATCAAGCCTCCCCGAGAACCAATTCATGGGGATGAGAGATGAGAGGAAGAACACTCTTGGGAGAGACGGGAGAACAGGAAGCCTCAGAAAGAAACCTCTTTATCTGGTAAAGGAGCCAGGGTTTTTACGGCGTGATAGCTCTGAGTCGGAGGGGCTAACTTCCTCCGAGTCAGAAGACTAAGATGAAGAGATAGATGAGGAAGAAAGATGCCAGCCGGATAAACGGCTGCCGCCACGAGATCGAGTGCTTGCGCTAGTGAGGGTTAATTGGAGGCTGTGTTTGCAAGAAGAGTGGTTTGGGGGAGACAGTCTAGGTGAATGAGGAATTGACCCAGTGCCGATCTTGCCTAAGAGGTGATAGCGAAACATAGGTCAAGAGAATTCTAAACAGACATTGCCTGCAGCCTAAAAGCCGCTTCAGGCAGGAAGAGCAGGGTTAAAAAGAATTAGAAAGCAGGGTATTGAAGTGTTAAATTAGCTGCCCGCTACATCTCCAATGAACGAGATGAAAAGTTACATCTTAAATATGAGAGAGAGAGAAAGAGTTTTAAAAAATACAGGTGTCCTCTCTCTGAGCTGTGTCAACAAAAAGAATGAAAAGGCTATTTCAGAGTTCATCTAGAAGCAGAGAATTTGGGAGACGTCCTGAAATTCTCTGTAGTTCTTAGAGGTCCTTCCTTGTTGTTTGTCCTTGGCACGCCAATGTCCACGTGTTTGTGTTTGCCTTTTGTTTCATTGTCTAAATGTTCTGTGTTTGTTACGTGTTCAAAAAGAAAGATCGTTAAAACTGCTTGATCCAACCTTTGGGAGCTAAAAAGGTCTTTTCAGGAATTGAGGTTGGCATAAGCTGCTTTTAAAAGAGACCAGCAGCATTTTGGGTTTTATAAGGAAGCTAAGAGTTGTTTGTCTTAGAAAAATCTCTGTGACAAGGTGCTTTTCTCTTGAAATTACAGCTAGAAAGACAAGAAATTTTGTTTGATCTAAAAATAAGATATATAGCCACTTCATTGTTGTTTCTAATTGGTTTTAAAAGTATAAAAACGTTCTACATGTCTTGGTTATAGACTATTGGCTTAAATTATTGGGTGTGATTAGAAATTTACAACTTTGGTAACGAAAAGTGACGTAAAACTAACTCAGTGTTAGAGTCATTCAGAAACCAGGTGTATAAAGAGTAAGATTTTAAACCAATATCTCTTCAATGAGATTAAAAGCTGCTTCATACATTCATATGTAAAAAATTGGCAACAAAACTTTGTAGCATAAGAGTAGTCTACTTGGTGTTGATTTTAGAAAAAGTAGATTGTTTAAATTGGTTTTGCTTTTGCTTCTCAAAATTAATGGTTATACTCTAATGTTACAAAAGAAATTTAAAAATTTTGTTAAACTGCCAGTATTCCATTGACTACGGTTGGCAGTTGTAATCTTGAGTTTAAAATTTTTTTGATTCGCCCATGTTATGGAAAGGGGGACAGCAGATAGAGTTAAATAAAAATATTTAAAACGGGTTGTGATACAATGCTGGCCTGCTACAGATTAAGAACATTTACATTTAAATTAAGACATACAGACTGGGAACTTAACATGCTTGTAAGACAAGGTCAGTGTGATGTTAATCAGGTTGAACTGCCCACACAGCCCTCAGACCATACAAGCAAAGACAGACTTAGATACTTGTCTTTACAATGAAATTACACCCTCATACAATCAGGGTCTGGCCATAGCTTGCACAGAGCCATAGAGATGGGGAGTGTTTTAAATGTGGAAATTTAGACAGTTTTAAAGTGACTGTCCCAGGAACAGAGGCTTGAACAACAGTCAGGTGACCAAGGTTACCTGACAAACCTGTCCTTGGTGCAGAAAAGATAATCCTTGGGCCAGGCCTCAGGATATAGGCCAAGATTAAAAACATAACAAGAGACCTAATCTTAAATTAATAATTGAAGGAAAAAAGGGGTTTAAAAGATTGATAGATACTGGAGCTATTTAACAATTTTTGGAAGACAAGATTGCCTTCAGCTTGGCTTTATCTGATACTTCACTCAGCTAAAAAGAGTTGGTTATTCATTTAATCAAAAAACACCAGCCGGGCGGTGGTGGCGCACGCCTTTAATCCTAGCTCTTAGGAGACAGAGACAGGCAGATTTCTGAGTTCGAGGCCGGCCTGATCTACAGAGTGAGTTCCAAGACAGCCAGGGCTACACAGAGAAAGTTCAAATTTAAGATTTATAAAACTAATGGGGCACTACAGCCTGACTTGCCTACTCCAGCTGCCATTCAAGTAAATGCATATAAAATTATTATAGATTTAAAAGATTGTTCTATACAGTTCCTTTACCTCCTGGTAAAGATGAGAGGTTTACATTAAGTGAAATTGCTTGTGATTTTTGAGAGCCCATGAAGCCATTCATTAAAAAAGCTTGCCTCAAAGAATGATTAATGGCCTTAAAAAATTTGTTGTTGCTTTAATACAAAATGTTAAAGCGTTTGAATCTCTCAGTATATATTATTCGTTGTATATTTTATTGGCTGATCTCTCTAAAAGAGTTTTTCTACAAGCCCTTGCTCTAGTACAATGAGCTTTAAGATTTTAGAGTACTTGTTGCTCCAGAAAAGTGATTCTCAAAAGTTGTTAACAGATATTAATTGGCTAAAACCTCATTTTCAGCTTACCATAGAAGAACGTAAACCTCTGTTGGATATTCTCAAGGGAGATACAAGTCCTAATTCCCCTTGACAATTAACTGATGAGGAGTAGATAAACACTTTTACCCTCAATATTTTAGAGCCTGACAGGCCAAAAGAAATGGTCAAATAAAAGGACATCTTGACCGGACAATGAAAAGGTCCAGATTCTATTTTAATAAAAGCCAGGGGAGCGGTCTGTGTGTTCCCACAAGAAGAAGACAACCCGTTTTGGCTACCAGAGCGGCTGATGCGGCGACTTGTGATACTGGAAGGTGACACCCAGACAGACCCTCCAGGCTCTGATGATAGCCCTTGTGCTGATCCAAGGGATACAGGTTCCTAGTATTTTTGTTTATTTTATCAAATTTCACCTTTAAGAATTGTACCAATGAAACCTGCTAGATGTCCCAGTGTTAAAATTCTGAAAGATTCACTCGCACTATGGTTGCCAGAGTCACGCGATGGGTTCCCATCCCCGTGGAGACTCCTTCCACTTTGTCATTATTTAGACAAAAAAGAGATTTTGGTATAACTACAGCCATAGTGGCGACGATATTAGTTAGTGCCATTACCGCCACTGCCACTGAGATTGCTATGTCAACTTCTGTTCAGGTGGACACTACCCCCAATTGTCAGCCACGGTGACAGAGACTGTTAACCTTCTAACCTCCGCCAGTACCCAACTAAAAGGCGGGCTAATGATCCTTAATCAACGCCTTGATTTAGTGAGAGAGAGATTAGATATCCTCTTTCAATTAGCCCAATTGAGATGTGAGAAAAAACTGGGTACACTTTACATCACCAGTGTACAGTATAAAAACTTTACTCGTGTAACTAATCTGTCCAGAAAATTGTTTCAGTATCTTACAGGAAATTGGTCAGAAAACTTCAGTGAGACACTCAGAAAATTGAGAGCAGCTGTGGTGAACATCAACTCGATGCACGTGGATCTGTCCCTGACTGAGGGACTGTCCTCCTGGAATTCTTCAGCTTTCTTTTTCTTTTCTTCTTCTTTCCTTTTTTTTTTAAGTGGGTGGGAGTAGGCCTGTTTGGTATGCCCTATGTTGCGGATTAGTATTCATCTTTTGGTTGGTTTGCAAACTCAGAGCTCAACAAAATCTTGACAAGGCTATTATTGGCCAGGCGCTTGTGACCAAAGTACTAGGGGCTTCCCCTGCAGTGTGGTTATCACTGCCTCAATTATAAGCAGTCTCCCCCTCACGAGTGGTGGTGCTAAATGTTAGGCCATCAGCGTTGCACCCCAGAGGATTTGCCCATTACACTGGGTCAGTGAGGAGTCTTGGCCTGGCTGATCCTTGTCTGTGTAGCTGTGGTACCTGAATTTTGAGACAAACAGCCCTTGCACCCCCTAGGAGATGACTCCATTGCACAGGGATGGGTGTTTGCATCTCTTTCTGTTCCCCTTAGCCCTTGCACCCAGAGGACTTGTTTCCATTGCACCTGGTAGGGTAAGGGAGACCGTCTTAAACTATCAGTTCTTGATCACTTATTCCCCCAAGATGGAATTTGCTTGATCGGCCTTGAGTTTGAGTCATAACCGGTACCACACTAGACAGGCCAAGAACAGCCAGATAGATAACTCCATCCTTTTGTCTCCAGGCCAGCTGCCAATTGGTCCCAACGACGGGAATAAGCTGATCCCATATGCCAGAGGTACACCACGAATGGTGATTTTACCCGGTGACAGGCATTACGAGTGGCCACAACCTGGGGCGCACATTCTGAGAATGCCAGGTGTGGGTGCGCGACCCTCATAGCCTAGACAGAGAGCTCACCATTCTTTGGTGCTGGCTGTGGAGAAATGTCAGTCAGCCTAGACACGGGACATTGACCAGTGCCTGTTTAACAAATCAAAAAAGAAATAGCCAGTAGACAGATTCCTCAGCCGCTGCACCCAAGGGCTTCTGGTAAGACACCCTGTAAAGCCTCAAACATTTGAGCACCACCCTCTAAAGAGACTCGACCCGCCGTGAGACCCCCAAATATGGGAGTTACGTAACCTTCCCAGGGACCTCTACCACCCTCTGTTTTTAAAACAAAAAAGGGGCAGATGTTGGGAGCCGCGGCGGGTGCTGGCAAAGTCCGCCATCGCTAGGTGGCGCTATCAGCCATAATTCTTCCTAGTAAACAAGTAAATTGCGCATGTGCCATGGTAAAAGCCCGCCAAAGTTAAAGCCCATCCCACGGTGTTTGGCGCGCAACGAGTAAGCAGCCAATCAGAGGTGAATACACCGCTCTAGGGTTTATAAGCAGTGCCACCCCAGGTCTTCTTCGTCTTCTTCCACCATTTTGGTTTTTGGGAATAAACGTGTTCTTACGGAAGGATTCTGGTGTGTGTGTGTGTGTGTTCTTGCCGGCGAGACACTACGCGCGCCTCACACACAACCATCTGTAATGGGATCTGATTCCCTCTTCTGGTGTGTCTGAAGACAGCTACAGTATACTCATATATATATATATATATATATATATATATATATATATATATATATATATATAACAGATAAATAATTCTATAAAAAAAAAAAAGAACAGCCTGGACTAGGTGCAGAGATCCTGTCTCAAAACAAACAGACTAAAAAGACTGTGTGGAGGGAGGCTGGGAAGGCTGTTCAGTCAGTAAATCTCTCAGTATAAGCAAGTTTGATATCTGGTACCCATGTGAAATAGATCACTGTGGTGGCATGTACTTGTGGTCCCAGTTGCCAGGAGGTGGAGACAGGAGGATCTCTTGAGCTCAGTGGCCAGCCTATATATATATACACACACATATATCATATATGTGTATATATGTGCTCATATATGTATATATGTATGTACATACATATATGTGTGTATATATATGCTCATACACATACAAACATGCATACATACATATAGATAAGCAACAATAATTAAAGAAGAGATCATGAATTGGGAAGTCAGACATGTAAGGAGTTGGAAGGAGATGGCGGGCAGGAGTGGTGCAGATGCAATGTTCCAGTATGATCTTATGAGAAAGAAAACATTAAACTAAAAAATTTTAAAAAACCCTTCATACACATTGTCTGTGAAATTCACTCTCCAAGTTCATGTAACCAAGCATCCAGAAACCACTGGCCCAAGTAGTCTTTGGGGCTGTAGACTGTCCCAGTACCTGACCTTACTTACATCCTGAGAAAGCTTCTGTCAAAAAGAAAAAAAAAATTAAGAAGGGGTAGGTGGTGACACATACCTTTAATCCCAACACCTGGTATACAGAGCAAGTTCCAGGACAGGCAGGCCTACACAGAGAAACCCTGTCTCAGAGAGAGAGAGAGAGAGAGAGAGAGAGAGAGAGAGAGAGAGAGAGAACTCTGTGTAGCCCCTGGCTATTCTAGAACTCACTCTATTGGGCACGCTGGACTTGAACTGAGAGATCCACCTGCCTCTGCCTCCTGAGTGCTGGTATGAAAGGTGTGTACCACCACTCCCTAGCTTTAATTGCAGCAGTTTTTATTACTACAATTAAAACACCATGCCCGAAAGCAACTTGGGGAGGGAAGGGTTTGTTTCATCTTACAACCCTCAGCTCATACTGCATCCCTGAGGGAGGCCAGGAAAGGAACCTGGAGGCAGGAGCTGATGCAGAGACTATGGAGAAACACTGCATCCTGGCTTGCTCCCCAAAGTTTGTTCAGCATGCTCTCTTATCCACCTGAGGGTCACTCGCCTAGGGGTGGCACCACCCACAGTGGTCTGAGCCATTCCACATCAGTCATTAACCAAGAAAATGCATCTGTGTATAGAGATTAGCATAGTCTATGTACAATGACATGCAAATCTGTGAAGCATACCATAAAAAAAGAAAAGAAAATGTCCCCACAGACTTACCTCCAAACAATCTGATGGAGGCATTTTCTCCTGTACACTTGGTAAGCACTGCCAACAAACCTACAGCCCCAGCCCCTGTCTTTCCCCAACTCTGTCTACTACATGTTGAGCATTGGTTTTGCTCACAGAGATTTTTGGTTTGTCCTATGCACTCAGGACACTGATCCAGTGTGAGTTCTGGCTTCAATCCCCACCCAAGTATCTCACCAGCTTTATGATTCCCTGGAGACTGAGTAGGATGACCCTGAACAACTTACGGAGGCAGAGAAGGGAAAGGAGCCTAGAGATCATGGTGGCTCAGCGGCTGGTCCAAGGGTCTTTGCAGGTCTACTACCAGCAGAAGAGCGTGACCAGGGCGTCACAAGCTCTCCAGCCTCAGAGAGTAGGCAGAATTGGTTTTGAGGGAGCTGCTCAGTTCCTTCCTCCCATGTTCACTCTCAGGAAATGTGCTGGTGCTTTCTGTTGCAACATATTCCTATAAACTCCTTCAGAGACTTGACTCACTGGGTCCTCTTCTGTCTCAGTCAAATTTCAGGCTTTATACAAGTAATTTCCAAAAGGCCTAACACTGGTCTTGCTGGACGCATACTGAGCTGAGATTTATGTAAATTGAGAGTCAGATATCATAGTCACTAGACATTGGCCAATACTCCTTTCCTAATAGAGATAATCTGACTCTCCTTACTGAGGAAGAGTGACAGGGCCCAGATAGTTTCTCTTTTTTACCTTCATTTTATTCTGCTGGATCTCATGTAGCCCAGGGCAGCCTGAAAATCACCGAGTAACTGACGATGACCTTGAACTTCTGGTCTTCCTGCTTCTACCTCCTGATGGGCATGTGTCACCATATATGCTTTAGGTAGTGCTGGGAATTGAACCCTGGGCTTTGTGTTTGCTAGACAAGCACTCTACCAGCAAAGCCACAGCCACAGCCACCTCCACCCACCCCCCCCAAATGCATTTCAAGTTCAAGCTACATGAGTGAGCATTAGTCATGATGGCATTTGCCTTTGATTTTTGTTTTAGTATGAGAGTTTAGTTTAGTTTTTGTTTGTTTTGTTTTGAGACCAGGTCTCCAGGCTGGCCTCAAATTTACCATTGGTGAGGATGGGCTTTAAGTTCTTATCCTCATGCTTCAATCTCCTGGGTACTGGGGTCAGAATTTTTCAGTCAAGGAAGCTGCTGAACACACGAAGATGATCATGGCAAGACTAGGCCCATGGCTCAGGAGTGCAGGGCCTGAGTCACTAAGTTTAAACCCCAGTGCCATCACCAAAACCAACTCCAAAAAGGAATGATCATGACAGCATTGTCCATAAAAAATCAGACTAGAAGGAGCCCCTTGAGAATGATAGTCATGTTAGAATCATAAAAGAGAATGATCTCAAGCTTTTGCAAGAATAAATAAATAAAATGCATGTAAGCCCATGAAGTCTCAGAAGCAGCATGGAGTATGAAAGAACCTGGACACAAAGAATGTGTGTGGTCCCACTCTAGCTATACGGGGCAACTGCAGGCAAAACTCAGTCACAGAAAAATCCAGAATGGATTATCTAAGAGGAAGCAGAAACTGACTGGAGAGAGGAGGGCCAAGAGAACTTTTAGGAGTGCTAGAAGAGTCTAGTTTTTGTCTACACAATGTGTACACCAAGGTGAGAGAAAAAGATCTGATAAATAATATGCATGGCAGATGATGGATAATAGAGGGATGATGGGAGACAGAAGGATGGATGGATGGATGGGTAGATAGACAGACAGACAGATAGATAGACAGACAATGTCATAGTTTGGACTTGGTATGGCTATTTTCAGCTTACAAGATCAGGCAACTTTAAAAGATGGGGCCTAATAGAAGGTCTTGAATCTCTGGAAGTGTGCCTTTGAAGGCAATAACAATATTCTAGTTTTTTTCTATTTCCTTTCTTCACAAGAAAACTAGCTTTTTTTTCACTATCTAATTCTGCCATGATAAGCTGTCTCAACAGAGGCCTCAAACAGTGGTACCAACCAATCAGTCTGAACCTCAGAAACCATGAGCGAAAATGAAACTTTCCTTTTTTATAAGCTGATTTATCCTGAGTATTTATTACAGAAACAAGAAGCCAACTGTCATACATATCTAGGTAGAGAGCTATAATGTCCCTAAAATGTGTCCTAGGATTTGTACAGTTTCCTTTGTTAATGATACCACTCATTAAAAACATTAGGATACAAACATAGGTGAGTACTTAGAGTGCTTGCTTAGAAAGCACAGTCCCTGGGTTTGATTCCCAACACTGCATAAAGTGAGCGTGGTAGTAATCCCAGAACATGGGAGATGGAGACAGGAGGATTAGATGTTCAGGGTTAAGGCTGTAGGGATTGATCAGCCATAAAGAACATTTAGGGGGCTAAAGGGATGGCTCAGAGGTTGACAGCACTGACTGCTCTTCCAGAGGTCCTAAGTTCAATTCCCAGCAACTACATGGTGGCTCACAGCCGACTATGGTGGGATCTGGCGCCCTCTTCTGGCATGCAGGTATATATGCAGGCAGAACACTGTATACATGATAAATACATGTTCTTTTTTTTTTTTTTTAAGAAAAAAAAAAAAAAGAACACTCAGATTCTTGGAGAGGACCCGTGTCCAGTTCCCAGCACCTACACAGAATGGCTCACAACCTGTAACTCCATACTTACACTCATGCACGCATGCAGACACAGTCACATACAGATTTGTTGCTAAAATTCCTTCTCTGGGAAAGTTGTAAACATCTACCTACTTCTTAAGGTCCCAGTGACAAACAGACGTGTGACTCCACCAAAGCTCACTCTAGACCAGCAGTTATCAATCTGTAGATCACAGCCCCTTTAAAGGTCCCATGTCAGATATCCTGTATATCAGATATTTACATTAGGATTCATAACAGTAGCAAGATTGCAGTTATGAAGTAGCAATGAAAATAATTTTATGGTTGGAGGTCACCACAACATGAGGAGCTGCATGAAAGGGTCGCAGCATTAGATAGGTTGAGAACCACTGCCCTAGGGGAATCAGTGAGTTGGTTAAGCTTACAGAGAATGGATGAAGGGTTCTGGGAAGAAGCATGAATGACCTCAAAGCAGCCACATTGTAAGATCTTCACCCAGCTTGGTGAGGACTTCCTGACTGATGGCTGCATAGATGGTACCACCTCAATAGTCCTTCCCAACCTATATCCTTCTAGCCCCCAACTAAAGCCATGTGCAATTAAAACAGAATTGCATAAACCTAGGTTGAGGTAGTGGATACTCAGGCAAGAACGCCATGACCCTCCCCAACTCTCTTTCTATGGGGAAAAGTCAACAATCACCGAACACAGCTGGGACAATTTTTTCTTGACCTCACAAAGATAGTGGCAGTTGAGCTCATAGGATAGTCCTGTACAACACACATAATTAAAAAAATAAAAGTCTTTCTTGAAAAGTAGGTAAATAAATAAATAATTTTTTTACAAGAAGGAAATAAGTCTTCATTGGAAATTTCAAGAAAGGGAACTCCAATGTGGCCTCTGGCCCACCCCTGCTTCCTCATCTGACGCCTTCCCTCAGGCTTTAGCAATTCCTGTGCTTCTGCAGAACTGAGCACACACAAGTATCATGAGGCTGCCTGGTCTGACTGTAAGGCATCTCACTCACAGCTCAGGCATCCAGCTGAGCGTGTCACTCCACAGGCTTCTTCAGCTCTTGAGCCCTGGGGTTCTTCCTCTTGAAGATAAGCAGAGAGCAGTATCAAGTCCAGAGAGGAGTATTTGACTGTGAATACTCAAGATGGATTATGATACCAGAATTGGAGATCAAGATGGGACACCAACAGGGGCTGGCCCAGTGGTTAGGAGCACTGGCTGCTCTTCCAGAAGGTCTGAGTTCAATTCCCAGCAACTACATGGTGGCTCAGAACCATTTATATTTGGATCTAGTGCCCTCTTCTGGCACGCAGATTTACATAGAGACAGAGCACTAATATACATAAAATTAATTAACTAATTAACTAAACATACATACACAAGGATATGACACACACAAAAAGATGAGGCACAGGCAAATCAAGGAGGCGGGGGGGGGTGGGGGGTACAGAAGATGTAATGGAAGGAGGGCTGTCAAATGCTGCCCTCTGGATGAGGCATGGCCTGTTACCTATGCACATCAACTCAGAGCAACTGTGGCTACCTGCACAAGATCAAGGCACTACATGTAAGTCTGTATATCATGTGTATGCCTGGTACCTGTGGATATCAAAAGAGATTGTTAGATCTCCTGGAACTGGAGTTATAGATGGTTCTGAGCCAGCATGTGGTTACTGGAAACTGAACCTGGGTCCTCTAAAAGAGCAACAAGAACTCTAGCAAGTGAGCCATCACCCTAGTCCCTACACGTGGTTTTCTGCTAGGTGAGATGGACAGCCCTCCCGTTTAAGGCAATAATTTCAACAGATAGGATATAAAAGTTGGTTTTAATTCTTATTCTACATATTTTTAGTTAGTGTGTATCCATGCACACATGTAAGAGGTGTGCAGAGGGGACAGAACAACTTGTAAGAGTCAATTATCTCTTTCCAGGCATCAAACTCCAATCACTGGGCTTGGTGGTAAGTGCCTTTACTTGATTGGTCATGTCACGAGCCCCCAAAAGTGTTAGCCTTTAAAGAAAAGGCATCTTTGATTGTTGGTAATTACCACAGTTCAAACTTCTTAGCATTAAAAAGACATCATAAAGAAGACAAACTTTATATTCTTATATCTCAAAGCAAAAAAAATAAATAAATAAAATAACTAAAATGGGCCTGGAAGATGGTAGAGCCAGCAAAATGTGTGCTGTACAACCATGGGTACTCAAGTTCTTTGTCGTTGTCGTCGTCTTCCCCTTCTCTCCCTTTTTCTCCCCCCTTTTCTCCTCCTCCTCTTCCTCCTCCTCCTTCTTCTTCATTATCATTTATTCTTTTTTTTAAATAGAATACATTTCAACCACAACGTCCCCTTCCTTTATTCCTCCCAGTTCTCTCCTACCTTTCCTTTCCCCCAGATCCACACCACCTACTCCCCTTCCCTCAGAAGAGAACAGCCCTTCCAGGGATATCAACTGACCCAGCACAAAATACTATAAAAGTAGGCACAGACCCTCACATCAAGGTGGGGAAACACAATAGGAGGCAAAGGATCACAGGAACAGGCAAAAGAGACAGAGACACCTCTACTCCCACTGCCAGGAGTCTTCCCAAAATACCAAGCCAATAACCATAACACACACTCAGGACCTAGTGCAGACTCATGTAGACTCCAAGATTTCTGCTTCAGTCTCTGTGAGCCCCTATGAATCCTGCTTAGTTGATCCCATAGACCTTGTGTTCTCCTGGTGTCCTCAACCCCTCAGGCTCCCACAATCCTTCCTCCACCTCTTCCACTGGGTTCCCAGAGCTTCAAGGGAAGGGGCCCAATGGAGACCTCCAAGAACTCTCTCTCCACATAATGTTTGACTGTTCTGAGGACCTGAGTTCTTATCCCCAGTATCCACATAAGCAGTCAAATGTTCCAACTGTCCTAGTAATCCCTTGCTGGGCAGAAGGAGACAGGAGGATGTCTGGGGCTTCTTGTTCAGCCAGTCTTGGTAAATCAGTGGTTCCAGGTTCAGTTGAGAGAACCTGCCTCAAAAACAGGATGGAGAATGAAGAATGGAGAATGGAGAATGGAGAAGAGAGAGAGAGAGAGAGAGAGAGAGAGAGAGAGAGAGAGAGAGAGACAGAGACAGAGACAGAGACAGAGAGACAGAGAGAGAGAGACAGAGAAAGAGACAGATTGATTAATGGTTAAGAGCATTTGCTGCTCTTCCAGAAGACCTGGATTCAGTTCCCAGCATTCGTTGTCAGATAGCTCACAACTGCATGTAACTCCAGCTCCAGAGAATCTGATGGCCTCTTCTGGCTTCAGTGGCACCTGCACACATGACACACACACACACACACACACACACACACACACAATGGACAAAGCATCAGCATCAACCCAATAATTTATCAAAACCATTACAATTAATTGCATATTAGATACATGTAATATATACTGCACAAAGGTACCTAATCTTCATACTACATACATAGTGCCAAGGATATCCAGGAAGGTACAAAAAATACATTCTAAAAGAAATTGTAAAATAAAGTCTTGTAGATCATACTAACATAATTATGAACACAGAAACAGATCCATAGTACCTAGGCTTTGGTTTATGCTCTAGGTAGCATGCCCTGTCTATAGGAAAAAAATAGATTTGTTTTCAGTGTAGTAATTGTAAAACAGTGAAGTATCTGGTGAACATCCATGCCCAGTTCTGTCCTCTGTGACATATAAGGAATGAAGAGATGGAACTGTCAACCCATCCCAGGATAACTTTCAAAGAGCGGGCAGTGCAGGCTTCGTAGAAAACTGAAGAGCAACTTGTCCTCTTTGACCAATGATTCATGGTAGCCCTGGGGTGCTGTAGGGCCTGTGGGTAAAGAAGATTAGACCTGAATTTGGTTGAGAAGTATTAACTCTTTTGCTATATTTTACTTATTTTAAGTGCATATGTGCATGCATATGTGTGCCAATATATGAGTGCTACATTATATGTGTGGAGGGCAGGGAAGAATGTGTGGGAATTGGGTCTCTCTTTCTATGAATGGATCCTAGGGATCAAACCAGTTTTTTCAGGTCCAGCAACAAGTGCTCTTACCCACTAAGCCATGCCAATTACTTGAACAATATTAAATTTATAGGGTCTCCAAACATAGATTCTAGTCTAGGGGGTCCCTACCCCCGCTTCCCATCCTCTCCAACTTGAGATATTTGAAAGCTATAGTAGGTAGAAGGTGCTTTAAAAACAGGCTTTTTAGCTGCTCAGTGGTGTTACATGCCTTTAATCCCAGCACTCAAGGGGCAGAGGAAGATGAGTCTCGGTGGTGATTTCCAGGCCAGCCTGGTCTACAAAGTGAGATCCAGGACAACCAGAGCTACACAAAGAAACACTGTATGTGGGGGATGGCAGATGTGTGCATGTTGGGGTGGGAAGCTGCAGGGGCCAAAAGAGAACATTAGATCCCTGGGGCTAGAGTTACAGGTGCTTGTGAGCAACATTTCGTGTATTCTTTTTTAAATTAATTTATTTTTATTTTATATGCATTGGTGTTTTGCTTGTGTGTGAAGGTAACAAGTCTTGCTTGGAGTTACAAACAGTTGTGAGCTGTCATGTGGATACTGGGAATTGAACCTGGGACCTCTGGAAGAGCAGTCAGTGCTTTTAACCCCTGAATCATCTCTCTAGCCCCATGGGTAATTTCTTATTTCACAAATTTGAAGCCTCAGCTGACATTTAATGGGAAAGGACATTGTACTGGTTAGTAATCTAGATATGTTAAATATATCTATGCCTAAAACAAACAGGATAATGCAACATGGCAAGATACTCTACATAAGATGATATGGGTGCCCATGTGGAAAACCATGAGAAGTCTCCACGGTAAACCCGAATGTTTGGATGACTCCTTGTAAGGATCAGAAGTACGCTGCAGTGACAGTAATGAATAATGGAAATTTTCTATAAAAGAAAATCCTCATAAGTAGGTTCATTAGCTGCTTTGTGGTAATCATCTAATTATTAGTGTAACTACTTAATATATAATTAATTACTTAATTCTTTTTTCCATGTTGATGAATGTATAATTAACAAAACTTAATTATATCATAGCAGAATGTGTTATTTCTTTTTTCTTCTTCTTTTTTTCTTCTTCTTCTTTTTTTTTTCTTCTTTTTTTTTGGTTTTTCGAGACAGGGTTTCTCTGTGTAGCCCTGGCTGTCCTGGAACTCACTCTGTAGACCAGGCTGGCCTTGAACTCAGAAATCCACCTGCCTCTGCCTCCCAAGTGCTGGGATTAAAGGTGTGCGCCACCACCGCCTGGCTGTGTTATTTCTTTTTTATTGTTTTTGTTTTATGTTTTGTTTTGACAATGTCCTACAGTGTACCTTTAAGTGGTCTGGAACTCAGTCTGTAGACCAGGCTAATCTGGAACTCATAGACATTCACCTGCCTCTGTCTTCTGAGTGCTTGGATTAAAGACGTGCAACACCACACCTGACAATTTTTTATTTCTCAATGATAGCTCCATTAATTTGGTGGTCAAAAATTCCTCATAACTACTCAACAGTCAGTGACATAGGGAAAAATTTGTTATTTTACCTGGGTCTGCTTAGTGACACCCTCTGATTGTTCCAGGCTTCAGCCAAGAAAACTGCCATAAACACCACAAACATGGCGGATATTCCCAGACGGATGAGATTGCTCTTGGTATAACATTCTGATACGGCACTTGGGGAAACTGAAACAGAGAAGATGACCCACACGCTTTGTAAGGAGCATCTTTTCTCACCAAAAGGACCAACCAGATCTGACTCTCTTCCATCCACTTGCCGGTGGGCAGCTGTCCATTCTTTGCAGTTTTAAGCCTTCTGCACAAAATGTAGGGTTTTATGAGAGTTGAAATGAATGGAGGTTTTCTTTAAACCTATTTTCTGTATATACATTCTGTCTATTCTACTTTGTTTTCTGTTGCCAGGATAAAAACATTCTGACCGAAAGTAGCCTGCAGGAGGAAAGGATGTATCTCATCATGTAAGTTACAATCCACCATCTAGGGAAGTCAGGGCAGGAACTAAAAGTAGAAACCATGGAGAAGGGCTGGAGAGATAGCTTAGTGGTTCAGAGCATTAGCTACTGTTCCAGAGGACCTGGGTTCAATTCCCAGCACCCACATGTAACATACAACCATCTGTAACACTAGTTACAGGAGCTTCAGCACCCTTTTCTCACCTCCTTGGGTAACTAGCATGAATGTGGTATACGCACACATATATACAAATAAAATATTCATACACATAAAATAAATCCTTTTTTTTTTTTTTGGTCTTGTTTCTCTGTGTAGCCCTGGCTGTCCTGGAACTCACTCTGTAGACCAGGTTGGCCTCGAACTCAGAAATCCGCCTGCCTCTGCCTCCCAAGTGCTGGGATTAAAGTCGTGCACCACCACTGCCCAGCGAAATAAATCTTTAAAAGGAAAAAAAAAACCCTCTAAATTCCAGCTTGTCCTCTGGCTCACTCTGCCTCATGCTTAGCTGCTTTTTCTATTCAGTTCTGGACCACATGCCTGAGGAGTGGTGTCATCCGAAGTGAACTGAGCCCTCCTACATCAATAAATAATTAGGATAATCCCTCACAGACATGCCCACAAACCAATCTGACTTAGGAAATTCCTGAATTGAGGCCTCTTATTTCTGATGACTCTAGGCTGAATCAAGATGAAAATCAAGGCTAACTAGGATACTGCCTGTCTTGGCTAAGGTTTCTAATATTGTATAAGACATCGTGATCAAGGCAACTCATAAAAGAAAGTATTAAATTTGGGGCTCACAGTATGGGAGAGTTAGAGTTCATGACAGTCATAGTGGGCAGCATGATAACATGGTGCCCAAGTGATAGCTGAGAGCTCACATCTTGACCCAAAAACATGAGGCAGAGAGAACTGACTAGGAATGGCTTGGGATTTTTGAAACCTCAAAGTTCATCTTCCATGACATACCTTCTCTAACAAAGCCACACCTCCTGATCCTTACCAAACACTTCCACAAACTGGAGACCAAGCATTCCAGTGCATGAGCCTATGGGGGCCATTCTCATTCAAACAACCATACTGCCTTAGCTCGTCTTCTTTATTTATTTTGTTACTTTATTTTATTATTCTCCTTTATTTTGTCTCATTTCTATACCTTCCCTGATTTCCTTTCCCCTCATCTCCTTTGATACTTTAGGAGTTAGTTTTATGACCAAAATGTAGACCAAAAGATATTCACAGAACACCAAAATCCATGGCAGATCAGCATCTCTCCTCAGACTACAAAATGCCACACTGAGCACAGCAGAACTTTCACCTGACATCTGAGCCCCTGGAACATTGTGAATCTCTGCTTCACTCAAGAAGGGCTATTGCAACATGGTAATAGAACAAAACGGACACAAAGAACAATGGAACACAACAGATAACCCAGATATGAACCCACACAGCTGTAGCATCCCCTCCTTTTTTGGCAAAGATGCAAAAAATTCACATTAAAGAAAAGGTACCCTCTTCAACAAGTGCTAGGAAACCTGGACCCCCACGTACAGAATGAAATGGGATCCCTGTATCTCACCCCGCACAAAATCAACTCCAAATAAATCAAAGACCTGAATGTAAGAACTGAAACTGAAAATATTAGGGGAAAACATTTGCCTTGGCAAAGACCTGATTTCAGTCCCTAGCACCTATATCAGGTAACTCAAAACCATCTGTAACTCAAGTTCCAGGGAAGTCAGTGCCCTGTCCTGCCCTCATTCACATGCATATACCCACACACAGACATACACATAATTTTCAAAAATAAAATAGATCTTTTTTAAAAGAGAGAAAAAAGATTACAAGTGATAAAGCAACAAAATTATGGAATAAACTATAATAATATATGTTATATTATATAATATTATAATATTATATATAACATAAATTATGCTATATATTATTGTTGCAGTAATTATTTAAAATGGCCGCTGGTCAAGCCGACTATCTTCTGCGGCAGCTCTGCCTAGCTCAGCCACCATGTTCCGTGGCCAGAGGCCACGTGCGCACCGCAGCTAGAAACGGCCAGCCAGAAAGACCAGCCCTGCCACCCACAAGATGCCAGCGTGGGAGATGGCTCTGCCAATTTCCCACGCTGTCTCCACAAAGTTTGAACCCCAGACAATACCTGCCATCCACGCAGTATCCAGTAGAAAATGAGACTCTAATGCTTAGATTATCTAAAGGCTTTATATGTTTGGTAATGATCAGTAACAATATGCCCATGCAAAGAGAGTTGTTTCCCAATTAGCTAACCTAAATAAAAGTTGTTACCGGCGACCGCTCTCCATACCTGCGAGGCTCAACATCCTCCTACATCTCTGCCCTCTCTAGCTCCTCCTCTTCCTTTTCCTCTTCCTCTCCTAACTCCTCCCACCTTAGCTCCTTTTACATATTATATATAATTATATATTATACATAATTATATAATATATTACATAAATATATATCTTTTATGTATAATATGGTTATATATAGTTATATTTGTATTATTATATATAATGTATACATATATTTTATATACTTGTATTGCATATAATTTGTATCATGTATAAAAAATTATATATTATATTATAATCTATATAATCTATAAGTAATATATAATATATAACATAATATTGACAATATATAATATGTAACACAATACTGTATATTATATAACATGTAACTATTATATAATTATATAATACATATTATATAAATATATTATCATAATAATATAATAATAAATTATTAGAAAACAAATCCTCTTGCCATGATAAAATCCGTACTTGCCACTGAGATTGCAAGATAGTCGCTTGAATTCGAGGCTCTGAAAGGGGGTTCTGTCTGAAGGTACACACAACTGTACCTTCCTGAGTCATTGACTGTCACTTTCTGAAGGGTGAAATTCACTATGTCGCTTTCTGAGTTCTGAAATTGTATGGGCGATGAAGTTCCCTCCTTTAGCAGAGCGAACATTTTATAGTCTGTCAAATTGTATGGCTTCTGACACTGTAGGTTCACCTTTTCTCCCATGGTCATCAGGCCCGAGTGGTGGACTCGGAGGGAAGGTTTATACAGGTACCCTGTAAGAGAAACAAAGTCCAAGGATGAGAGGTGAAGCCTGGAGTCCTCTATTCATTCTTCTTGTCCTGCAAGGGCCCTGCTGATGCTTAATCTTTCCGATGGTCTATCTTGACTCTTAACAGACATATTTTTATTAATTAAATTTGTTTTTAGACAGTTTTGTACATGTACACATTGCATACTGACCATTTTCACCAACCCCAATGCCTTCCTCATCCCCATAAATCTCTCTTGTGTTCATTTCCATTCATTTTGTTTGAGGTCCCACCAAGACTAACCAGAGCCATTTGTGTGACTATTGGTTTGTAGCGATATGCTGGAAACTGGTAGGCTCAGCAGAGGTTACTCCCTCTCTCTGAGTCTACCCACAGCCAATAGTTTAGTCATAGAGAGTATGCCCTGTAAGCCCTTTCCTTCCCTTGACTTTATTGTTGATAGAATCATTCGTGTATGGGACCAGTACAGAACACAGATTTTTTTTTTTACCCCTACAGATCTCAGGAAAGCTGGGGTATTCGATTTCATCCTCTTAAACTCATGTCCTCCTCAACTCTCCAACTCTTCAGATGACACCTCTTTTAAAATTACTATTTTATTTATTTATTGGGAAGGTGGCATACCAGAGCATGAATGTGAAAGTCTCAGGACAATCTGTGGGTGTGTCTCTCCTTCCTTCTTGTGGGTTACATTGGGTTGTCAGATGTGGCAGCCAAAGCTTCTACCAACCAAGTCCTCTCAGCAGCCCTAAACGACACTCCTTTTCCCTACCTACATCCCCTTGGTTCCACGCTCACCCTTTTCTGAAAATCACTGTATGTCATTCTGAGGCAGCCTCTCCTCACCTGTCACCAGTAGTAAGAGACTGTCACTGGAAGGTGAGATTCCATCAGGGGACTCCTTTAGATAGTATTCACAAGTATAATATCCAGCGTCTGCCTGCCGTAGGTTAGTCAGACGAAATTCAGCTGTCCCCTGTGTCAAATGATGTGGAAGTCTGGAATCCAAAATGACATCTCCCTTTCTGAGAGAAACCTGTATGCCTGGGGTGGGACTCACGCACTGCAGGGTCACGTTGCTATTCTCTGAGGCTACTGAGTTGGGCCAAGCACTGAGGCTGGGTTTGGGAAGAAAATCTGGAGGGAAGCAAAAATCAGTCTGGCTCTGACACATCCACCTGCTCCCAGGAAGCCCAGGAAGGAAACAGAACATTTGGGATGAAAGCTCAGAGTGGGTGTGTTGAGTCACTTACCGTTTCTCTTTGTGTCTGTTTGGCCAACAGTCGGATCTGTAAAAACAGTCATGAGTGAGGTACAGGTGCCTGCTGAGAGGCACCTCGTTACCATCCTTGGTTCTGAGGAACACCCGAGAGGTTCCTGCTGAACCCAGACCCCGAGTTAATAGGTTCAGGGTCTGCAAGCTCCCACAGCTAGTCTCTGGCTTTAGACCAACTTAGCACCTCCTTTGTTGCCTGCGACTCTCCTCTGCCACCTCTCTGCTTCCACTTCAGTGGAATACTTCAGTGCTTCTCAGGTCTCCAAAATTCCACAAATCCTTCTAATCTCACATTCATTCTATCCCCAAATTTTACTTATTCTCACCACTTCTGTTAGAGCAGGGTGTGCATTCCAACCTCCACTCCAGGGATAGACAGAAGCTATTCAAGACACTGGGGAAGTCCTATAGATTTGGGTGTAAGACTAGCTTCTTCCTGATGGCAGAAATGCCTTTCATATGCTGGGGTGGGATGTCTCCTGAAAGTCTCTTGGAACAGGGTAACCCTTATAGTAATGGCTGACTGGTGCTTTAGGTAACATGACTTTAGGACATCTATTCCCAAGCTATGGATGAGTGATTGGGTGTGTGATACCTGAAATAAGAACAGTCGAACATCAATGAATCACCTCTATCCCAAAATGAAAAAGAGGAAGAGCACTAGAAATCATGCAGGTCCCCCAACAACTGGAGCAGGGGCTGTCCCTGACTGTTGCTGCCTGTGGATCCTAGACCCCTAACCCGGCTGCCTTGTCTGGCCTTAGAAGGAGATGATGTTCTTAGTCCTGCAGTGACTTGATGTGCCCAAGGTGGGTCGGTATCCAGGGGTCCTCCACCTTCTCAGAGGAGAGGGGGAAGGGGATAAGGGAAGGAGGGTGAAGGGGAGGAGGGGACACTGCAATTGAGATATAAAGTGAAGAAAGAAAGAAAGAAAGAAAGAAAGAAAGAAAGAAAGAAAGAAAGAGAGAAAGAGAGAAAAAGAGAGAGAGAGAGAGAGAGGGAGGGAGGGAGGGACAGAGGGAGGGAAGGAAGGAGGGGAGGGAAGAGAAAGAGAAAGGGGAGAAAGGGGGAAGAGAGAGGGGGAAGGGAGGAAAGAAATCACAAAAGATGAGCTGGAGAGTCAGCTCAGGAGTTGCAAGCACCAGCTGCTGTTCCAGAGGACCCAGGTACCTACATGGAGGCCAACAACTACCTGCAACTCCAGTTTCAGGGGCAGGGGATGTGACCTCCCTTTCTGGCATCTACAGGCACCAGGCATGCAATTGGTGTACAGACATATGAACAGGCAAGACAGCCATATCCATAAAGCAAAAGGAAAGTAGAAATTATTAAAGAGAATATGTGAAACTTTGATTGGAAAAGCTTCATTTCACAGTAGGCAGCAGTGGATCGGAGGACTGAGGGTAACAGAGCGAATGCTCAGCCTAAAAGGGACATCTATATCACTACCACCTCTGCCACTGCTGCCACCGCTGCAGTCACAGCCACCACTACCAGCAGCAGCAGCAGCAGCAGCAGCAAAGCTCAGAGCTCATCATAGAAGAAGCAGAAGCAGGAAGAATGAAAGAGCTCAAGGATGGAAAGAAGTGTTGTGAAATGCAGTCTTCTGCACATAACACGGCTATTACACTTAGGAACTTACAACAGCTATGGTTACCTGGACTAGACCTGCACTAGATCAAACCAGCCAAAATCTTGGCATAAATGTATAGAAGATCTCCAGGCCCCATCCTTTACTGACCAGCTAGTGGAGGTTGATAGCTGCCAGGAGTAGGGGGAGCTATTCTTTTTGGAGAACATAACCACTTGCAGATTTCCCATGCTGCAATGGGTGGCACAACATTCGTGCACATAGAGGCAGCACTAATTGGATTTAGTGGGTTATATCAAAAACACAAAAACAAAATAACAAAACAAAAAAAACCACAGGGGCTAGAGCAATGTCTCAGAGCTTGTACTGCTCTTTAAGAAGACCTGACTTTGATTTCCAGGACCCATGTTAGATATCTTAGAACCACCTGTAATTGCAGCTCCATGTGATCTGATGCCCTTTCTGGTCTTCATGGACACACACACGCACGCACGCACGCACGCACGCACGCACAAAAATACTTGAAGACATGGAAGAAGAAAATGGGGGTTGGGTGCAGTCATACATTGCATTGTATATATGGCTGAAATTTAAAGCATTAAAAACAATTTGAAAAAATAAGAAGACTTCTAAAGATCCCACAGAAACAGAAAATTAAGTGTGAGAGAGGAGATATCTGCCTGGCTTCTCTACAGAAGAGGAAAGGCCGAAGACTCGTTCACAACGTAAGTCTTGGTTAAAGCAAAACGTTGGTTGTCCTGCTCGCAGGACAAATTTCACAAACTTAAGGCCAGTAGGAACTATTGAAGGGCAAGTGATCCCATGGGACAAGTCAACATCAGGAATGAAATTCATTTTTCTCGCCAGGCGGTGGTGGCGCACGCCTTTAATCCCAGCACTTGGGAGGCAGAGACAGACGGATTTCTGAGTTCGAGGCCAGCCTGGTCTCCAGAGTGAGTTCCAGGACAGCCAGAGCTACACGGAAAAACTCAGTCTCAACAAAAACAAAAACAAAAACAAAAGAAAGAAATTCATTTTTCTCTCTGTAACATCCAAACTCTGAAATCAGGAAGGAATAGAAGAAGGTCACAGGAGACCTAAAGGTTGAAGAGAATTGTGGGCAGATATAACATGTTTTATTTTTTTAAGACTTTTATTTATTTCATGTGTATGAGTACACTGTAGCTATCTTCAGACACACCAGAAGAGAGAATCAGATCCCATTACAGATGGTTGTGAGCCACCATGTGGTTGTTGGGAATTGAACTCAGGACCTCTGGAAGAACAATCAGGGCTCTTAACCACTGAGCCACCTCTCCAACTCCATAACATGTTAATTACCATCCCACAGACCACTAGGTGACCACATGCTGACAGGTGACCAGGCACATACCAACACACATAGAGAAGTAGAGGCACACACACAGACAATCACACAAAGACCACACAGAGGTAAACACACAGGCCTATAGGCTAACACACAAACACACAAAAGTTTGCCAAGGTGAGGGCTCTTGTCTCTGACCTCAAGGTTATATTTATACAGAACCACATAAAAGTGGCATCCTGCCATAAACAGTTGTATAGCAGATTATATCACTTGTTTACTTTGGGGTTTTCTAGACATTCAATGTCAACCTTTTTGTTTTTGTTGTTGACTCATGCTCCCTGGATGTACAGTGTTAGCTATCTTGGTCCATGCCAGATGTCCACGTTGTCTAAGTATAAACTGTCCCAAAAGCCCTCTGTTCCCTACCCCTTCTCCATACCTTATGGATTATACCTAGGCACTGTTTTGAGAGGGAGCTTACTGTTAAACACTCAGATACTCTAGTGAGAGCCAGAAAACAGAATAATTACAATCTGGGAAATCTGCACCTATAGTTTCTGTGTGGAAGACAGCTGTAGTGAGGGGGGCGTCCAAGTGTAGACATATTCGAAAGTTGAGGCAGCAGGAATCTTGGACTTTGAAGGATACAGGATACCCTGTGGTGAGGAGCAAACCCCAACACTTCAAGATAAATGGAAAGAATAATAGCACACACAAATCTGCACACACTCATGCTCGCACACAGACAGACACACACACACAAATTCGGACAACTGAGATAAGCAGAGAGATGGAGCATCAAAATCTGTGGAACAGGAGAAGCAGTCAAGATACAAACAAAATATATAGAATACCTATTCAATGGGATGGTAGTAAAATATTTTTTAAGTTTAGGAAAGAAAATAAATATCCAAACACCAGGTTATAAATAGACATACAAGCCAGGCGGTGGTGGCGCACGCCTTTAATCCCAGCACTTGGGAGGCAGAGGCAGGCGAATTTCTGAGTTCGAGGCCAGCCTGGTCTACAGAGTGAGTTCCAGGACAGCCAGGGCTACACAGAGAAACCCTGTCTCGAAAAACAAAAAAAAAAAACCAAAAAACAAATAAATAGACATACAAGAGCCCATCCATGACGAATCATAGTTAAAATACTAAGACAGCACAGCAAAGAAATATTAAAATTTGAAAGAGGAAAAATTATGAAGTCACAAAAACTAACACCAGTCCTCTCAGCATAAGAGAAAAACCACAGAAGGATGGAATGGTATACTTCAATCCCTGAAAGTGAATAGCCTCTAACCAAGGTTATTATATACTGGTTATAATCAGTAACTAGAAAAGAATTGATCATGTTCACCTCAGCAAAGCAGCAAATCCCAAACATGAATGGGGCAGAAAGAAGAAACATGATTCATGTCAATCATGAAAACAACCAACATAATTATAGAAACTGGGAAATCTGTCTCAGGAACTGCAATAAGATCTGGAGAGAGGCTCAGCATTTTGAGAGCGAAGGATCAGAGTTCAATTCCCAACACTCACAGTGGAAGGTTCACAGCCACCTCTACTTCCAGATCCAGGAGATTCCATGCCATCTTTTGGCCTCTGAAGGAGCTGCACTCATGTGCACACACACACACAGAGACACACAGTTTTTAAAAAATAAGTCAGCTATACAGTGGTGGTGTATGCTTTTAATCCCAGCTCAGAAGGCCGAAGCAAGCAAATCTCTGAATTCAAGGCAAGCCTAGTCTATAGAGCAAGTTCTAGGACAGTGAGGGCTATTATACTAAAAAACACTGTCGAAAGAAAGAAAGAGAGAGGAGAGGGAGGGAAGGAGGGAGGGAGGGAGGGAGGGAGGGAGGGAGGAAGGAAGGAAGGAAGGAAGGAAGGAAGGAAGGAAGGAAGGAAGGAAAAAAATGCCTTTAATTTCAGCACTTTAATCCCAGGCAGAAGCAGGCCAATCTCTGTGAGTTCGAGCCCAGCCTGGTGTACAGAGTGTGTTCCAGAACAGCCAGGACAATACAAAGAAAATCTGTCTTGAAAATCAAAATAAATACATAAAATAAAAAGATAAACATAAAATTAAAAAAAAAAAGAATTGCCATAAATATAATGGTGTTTCCTCTCTATTCAAAAGACAAACTTTAATTTGATAGGGTTTTTTTTAAAGATTTATTTATTTATTATATATGAATACACTGTAGCTGTCTTCAGACACACCAGAAGAGGGCATCAGATCTCATTACAGATGGTTGTGAGCCACCATGTGGTTGCTGGGACTTGAAATCAGGACCTCTGGAAGTGTAGTCAGTGCTCTTAACCGCTGAGCCATGTCTCCAGCCCTTGATAGGGTTTTAAAAGCAAGATTCAACTGTGTCCTCTCTGTGAGAAATACACCTTCCGTTGTAAACACCACACACAAACACACATACACACACACACATATACACTTACAGAGAGAGAGAGAGAGAGAGAGAGCGAAAGAGAGAGAGAGAGAGAGAGAAAGTAGAAGGATGGAAAATTATATATCAAGTAAATAACAGCCCCCAAACCAGCAAAGTAGCTATACTTAAATCTCAAAAAGTAGAGGTCAAGTCAAAATTAGTTTCAGGGTCCAGGCATGGTAGAGCACACCTTTAATCCAAGCACCTGGAAGGCAGAGACAAGCATATCTCTGTGAGTTCAAAGCCAACCTGGACTGTATAGTGAGTTCTAGGCCAGGCAGAGCTACATAGTGAAAGCCTGTCACAAAAAAAAAAAAAAAAGCAAAAAGCTGGGCAGTGGTGGCACAGGCCTTTAATCCCAGCACTTGGGAAGCAGAGGCAGGTGGATTTCTGAGTTCGAGGCCAGCCTGGTCTACAGAGTGAGTTCCAGGACAGCCAGGGCTACACAGAGAAACCCTGTCTCAAAAAACAAACAAACAAAAAATAATAATAATTAGTGAAAGGATACAAAGTTTGTTCTGCCTTTGAGATATCTCAGGTAAAGGCACTTGCCACCAAGATTTAATGATTATGACCTGATGAGTTCAATGGAATCCCCACATAGAAGAAGGAGACAACTGACTCTGTCACATTGTCCTTTGAACTCCACATGCATAATATGGCATGTGTATGGCCACACACATATGTGTTTATATGTCCATAATAAATAAATGTAAAAAGAAAAGGAAAAGGTTTAATGACTGAGTTGGGCATAGTGACTCATGGCTTCAATCTTAGCATTCGAAGGCAAACACAGGGAGGCTGTAAGTTCAAGCCAGCCTAGACTAGGTAGAAAAAATATATACATATATAATGCCAATATGCCCCTGATGTGTCCATTTCCATAAAGTAATACGAATGGATATAAAGAAACGAACAGGTCCAGATACAAGAATAATAGGTATATACCACTGTCATCAATAGACATACCATCCAGACAAAATATCAAAAAAGAAACCTCAGAATTGACTTGCACCACAAATAAAGTGAACCTAACAGACATTTAAATGATAGTCTATCCAACAGGACTGAAATACACATTCTTCACAACTTTTACCAAAATAGACCATGTTTGGGTCATTGTTGTAAGGCAGTTTCTTCCAAAGTGAAACATTTCGTCAGGAAGGAGGAGGAGGCTCGTGAGAGATGGAAGATTCTTTAAAAAGTCATGTAAAAAAGAAGAGTCATCAGTCTGGAGAGATGGCTCAGCAGTTACGAGCACTAACTGTTCTTATAGAGGTCCTGAGTTCAATTCCCAGCAACCACATAGTCTGGCTCATGACCATCTGTAATGGGATCCGATGCCCTCTTCTGACATGCAGACATACATGCAAATTGAACACTCACATACATAGACAGAAATCTTAAAAAAAAAAACCATTTTAAAAAATTACCATCCTGCTGGGCAGTGGTGGCGCACACCTTTGATCCCAGCACTTGGGAGGCAGAGGCAGGCAGATTTCTGAGTTCGAGGCCAGCCTGGTCTACAAAGTGAGTTCCAGGACAGCCAGAGCTACACAGAGAAACCCTGTCATGAAGGAAAAAAAAAAAAGACCACCCCAATCACAGAGAGAAGGAAATTCTTAGACTGTCCAACTGCCTACAAGCTTTGCAGAGAGTTCCAGTGCTGGAACATTCATGAGTCACCACTCAGCCCTGCTGGAATGGGCTTTTTGCTGACGCAGCTGTTTTTGCATCATTTCAACTCCATGTAAGAAGTTCTCACCCATCCTCCTGTTAGTAACTCCAATAATAACTCATTGCTTCATCAACTTGGACATTTGGTGCAATTATTTTTTATGTTCTTTTGAACTCTTGTCCTTGAGTGACTGGGTCCTGTGCCTGATCATGGTATGGTCAGAACTAGAGACTACAGCCCTCTGGCATTACATAATATGTATACTAGCTATACAAGGCCATGTAAATTCTCATCTTTTATTTCTTCCTCCAAACTTAATTCTTTTTTATCCTAATACTACCCAGGCATGAGGACCAGAGTTTGAATCCCCTTAAGATACTTGATTTCTAGATGAGTGGCTTACCTGTATCTAACTCCAACTTCAGAAGACCGAGAGAAAGGATTCCTCCAGAGCTATCTGGCTAACAAAAGTAATCATGCCCAGGAGCTATGGTTTGGTTGTGAGATCCCGCCTTGGTGAATATGGCGGAAGAACAATTAATCACTTTCAAGCTCCACATGCATGCACACAGATGTGCACGAATACCCTCCCCAGGCATAGGCATCCACACACATGCAGACATGCATACACACACATGCATAACACACACATACAAAAATGAAAACAGTAACTAAAAGTACTCATTTCCATCACTACTGCCCCCTGCACACCCCAACCGCTCTGAAGACGATCACTCGTCTCTCCCTTTGACAGATTGACAAGTGTCATTCTAAGGAAGCCCCTTCTCACCTGTGATCAATAATTGGATCTCATCACTGAACATCTCATCAGGGTTCTCACTGTCATAGCACTCACAGGTGCAGTGTCCAGCATCACTCTGCTCTAACTCTGTGAGGTGGAATTCAAATGTCCTCAGCCATTCCCTAAGGACACTTAATTCAGAGTCCCAGTCTGTCACACCAATGAGTGGCTTGAGATCCAAAGTAGTACCTTCTTTTTTAATAACACACTTTGCATCTTGTAAAAAAAATTATACATTGCAGGTTCACATTGCCCCTGGTAGGAACCTCAGTGCTGGGCCAGGCATGCAAGATGGGTTTGAGTAAGAACCCTGGAAGAAAGTAAAACTTAGAGTTGTATATGACATATTGTCCTGCTCCCTGGGAACCATTTAAATAAAGGATAGATCCATTTAAACACTTGGGATGAAGGGTCAAGGGGGACTTGATTGAAGAGATACTTACCGGATGCATTTATGTCTGTTTGCCCAGGCCATATCCCTGCAAGAGAATGACTTATGAAACACAGTCCCTACAGCCAGGGCTACACAGAGAAACCCTGTCTCAACCCCCCCCCCCAAAAAAAAAGAAAAAGAAAGAAAGAAAGAGAGAGAGAGAGAAAGAGAGAAAAAAGAAAAGAAAAGAAAAAAGAAAAGAAAAGAAAAGAAAAGAAAAAAAGAGAAACACAGTCCCTGCTTGCTTCCTGGAGCTCCCGAATCACCCTTCCTGATCCCAGGATTTCATTGCTGAGCTCAGACTCTGGCTCCACTTAACCAGGAGTTTCCGTGTTCCCCACACTGGACTCTGGCATGTTTCTTGCTCACCGACAGCCCATCTCCTCCATGAGAACATATTTGGCATCAATATCTACTTGTGAGTCCATTTCCTAGGGATACTGTAACAAACTAATAGATGCCTCATGGTATATAATGCTGTAAGTTCATTCTCTTACCATCTATCTTGCAAGTCAGGTCTCTGCTTGCATTTCATGCATACAGTGCCCATGGTGGTCAGAAGAGGGGGTCACATGGCTCATAGAGGCAGAAATAAAGATGTCTAGGCTGGTTGTTCTTTTCTAGACTTTCAAAGACAAGATCTATTGTATTACTTAGAAGATCCTAAAGATTCTACCAGGAGAATTCTTCTATCTGCTAACTTACAGCAGGGCCAGAGAGACAGCTCTCTTAGTAAAAGCACGTGCTGTCAAGACTGATGATCTGAGTTCAGTCCTTGGAACACACATGGTGGAAGGAGAGAGTTGATTCCTGAACGTTGTCTTCTGACCTCCACAGGTGTGTTGTGGTACGTGTGTGTGTGTGTGTGTGTGCGTGTGTGCATGTGTGTTTGTATTGGGGACCATGACAGGAGAGAAATGAGAAGGTAGAAAGGGGCAGGGGAAAGAAAGACAAAAGATCACACACTTTCTCTCATATTCAAAATATAGGTTTAATTCTATACGATGTGATATCAAAGTAGAGTGGGGACTATTTGAGGGTGACAAAGGAGGTTCAGAGAGAGGTAGGGAGGAAAGATGGAGGAGGGTATCTGAGATAGAAAATACAAGCAAGGTATAATGATCTGTATGTGTGAAAACGTCACAATCAAGCACATCATATCGCATGCTGGTGACAAATACATAAATAACCTGAAGAACTAAAGGGTGTGTCCCTTCCTTTATTCACGCTATCTTGCAAGTTAGCATCAGATCATGGTGTTTCATCTCCGTGTCTTTTTATTACATTTATTTACTAGGGATTCACACGTATGCCGTGGTGCACATGTGGAGGTCAGAGGACACCTTGTGAATGGTTCTCATCTTCTACCATGTGGGTGCTGGAGGTCTTCAGGCACAGCAGCACACCCTTTGAGTCATCTCACGGGCCCATCATCATAATGCCCTCATTCACTGGTGCTATTGTACTTGTTCTTTTTTTTTTTTTCCCCGAGACAGGGTTTCTCTGTGTAGCCCTGGCTGTCCTGGAACTCACTCTGTAGACCAGACTGGTCTTGAACTCAGAAATCTGCCAGCCTCTGCCTCCCAAGTGCTGGGATTAGAGGCGTGCGCCACCACCGCCCGGCAAAAATGTGTAACCCAGGCTGGCCTCAAACTCGTGATCCTCCTGCCTCTGCCTCCTTCAGCAAATCCTACCAGTGTGCGCCACCACTACCAGCGTACTTGTTCTCAACTGTTCCTCTCTCTCTATGCTCTCCTGATTCCCTCACACCACCTCCAGCTTGTTCCTGTTCTTCTCTGCCAGTCATCCTTCCTTTCTCTTTTCCTCTTACATGCTCTCCATTGCACTCTCTTTTATTCACCTCCATAGAGCGATGTCTTCCTTTCCTCTCATGACCTGTTTTGTAACGCACACACACACACACACACACACACACACACACACACACACACAACATTTGTCTTTTTGAGCCTGGTTTATTTTCCTTAACACAATGATCAACAGTTGCATCAATTTTCCTGCAAATATCATTACTTCATTTTCTAAAGGAAAAGAGGCTACATAAAATTCTGTTGGCATATGTGTCTCATTTTCTTTATCCACTCACCTCTTTTGGATATCTGGGCTGGTTTTATTAAATTTTTTTGGCAGTAGCCACACATGGGCGAGGGAATGACATTTTCTTCACGGATGTAGCTAGCCACTGGCTCAGTGGGTAAGGATGAATTATGTGAAAACAAGAGAACCCAAGTTCAAATCTCCAGTACGTATACAAAAAATAGGACATGGCTGTACACGCCTGTAACCCCAGCATTGGGGGAGCAGAGAAAAGCAGATTCAGGAAACTTACTAGCTAGTCAGCCTAGCTGAAACAGGAAGCTTCAACTTCAATGAGAACCTCAAAAATTGGAGAGAACAGACAAAGATACCTCGAGTCCATAAAGAGGACACATGTGTGTGTGCGCGCACACACACACACACACACCCCAGACATACAACAAAAAGGAAAGAGTCTCATTCATGTGGCAGAAAGCCACATCAGAACCTACTGATTTGGAGAAAACAGGAAAATGTGTATAAAGTATCCAACACGTTTCTCACGTGTTCACAAAGTGAAATATATTCACTTATCCTTTTGGACTCACTAGCTACCTCAGTGTCTTTACCAATTCCATCTGCCTCCACAAGCCACCCGCCCACTCACCCCAAACCACCCTGCTCCCCCTCAGACTTACCAAGACAGAACAAGAGCAAGAGTTGGGAATTCATGATGCCCCTCATATTAACATACTTTTCGCAGAATGCATCTTCAGCTTGTCATTTCTGTTAAAGTTTAATTCTGGGACCAGCAGTAAGGGCTTTCCTTCAGTTCTTAATCTTCAGAGCTAGCCCACAACGTCCGTTTCATGGTGGTAATCAGGACGCAGTCTCTAAGCAATATGTCATGCCACTTCCTACTGGCTTGGTTTATGTGGGCCTCCCACCACACAGAAAGAATTCAGACCACCTACTTCTAAGCTTACTCATGCGTTCCAACCAAGCTTCTGAGGAAATGCTAATCATATACTAATTGGTGTTGTCTCTGCCCTTTTGTTGGTTTGTTTCAATATTAATTTTATTTACTGTTTGATAGTTCCATACATGTAAACAACATATCACGAGCATATCCATCCCCAACTCTAAACTCTCACTTCTCTCAGACACCCCCCAGTATAGCCTCCCCACTCTTTGTTCTCCCTGAACTTTTTTGTAAACCATTATGCTGACTAGCTTTATGTCAACTTGACACAAGTTAGAGTCATCTGAGAGGAGGGAACCTCAGTTGAGAAAATGCCTCCCTAAGACTGGACTGTGGGCCAGCCTGTGAAACATTTTCTTAATTAGTGATTGACAGAGGAGGTTCAGTCCATTGTGGGTGTAAGGGTCCATGATTCGATAAAGAATGACACCCCAGACTCAAATAGTATGCAAAAGTGAAGAGCTTTTATTCTGCACTAAGTCCAGCATGTTAGGGTCTACAATTTACCAAGACGGAAACTCCTAGGTTAGTTTGAAGGCCCAATTTAAAGCACATTAGGACGATTCCAAGGAGGGGTAGGTAACCTTTATCTTAATTGGTTGGCTGTCTCTCTAGAGACATCCCAGAACCATTGCTGGGGGGAAACTCTTTCTAACTCTTCCCTTGCCTCAGACCAGATAGTGGGGCAGCTTCTGCTGGTGAAGCAGTTTCTGATTGGCTGCCTAAGGCCTGGGTTTTTTCCAGTAACTGACTTGCCTGGACTTGTCCAGTTCTGGGAAACAGAAATTCAGGTCTAGTCTCCTGACCTGCATTTGAAGACTGGCATGGAGTCAGCCTGTCTTAGTCATCCCATGGGTAGTGCCACCCACTGAGCTGGTGGTCCTGTGTTCATGAGGAGCAAGCCAGTAAGCGTCTTCTGCCTCCAGGTTCTGCCTGGTTTCAGTTACTGCTTTGGCGTTCCTCAGTGAACTGTGGCTCCAGACATATCAGCCAAATAAACCCTTTCCTCCTCAAGGTGCTTATGCTTGTGGTGTTTCATCACAGCAATAGTAACCCTAAGACACCCACTGAATCCAATTGTTGCTAATTGTTGGAATGTTGAGTAATCCTGTGGTCTCGAGTTTGTCAAATAGCCACAGCTGCAGTGAGTTCACAGAAAATGACAGCAACGTCACATCCTGAAGGTCATAGCACGCCCATCTGTCCTCAGACTCTTACAGTTTATCTCTCCTCTCCTCTGGTGTTCCTCAAACCCTGGTTGGGGCGGGAGTGATATAAATGTCCCACTTAGGCCACTCAATAGTCATTTATTCTCAGCATCTCTAATTAATTGCTGACTACTGTGGAAAAGTTTCCCTGGCCAAGGTTGAGAATAGCACTATTAAACATAAATATCAAAAAGGCAGTTTAATAATCTGTTCCTGGGATCCCTTTCTTACTTCAGCCTAAACTTGTTTGTTTGTTTGTTTGATTGATTGTTTTTCAAGACAGGGTTCCTCTGTGTAAGTTTTCTTTGGCTATCCTGGAACTGACTCTGTATAGCCCAGGCTAGCCTCGAACTCAGAGATCTGTCTCCTGAGCGCTGAGGTTAAAAGCCTGTTTCACCAGCCAGTTTATAAATAAAGCTACTATCCCTTTCTCAACCTAGAAGAATATTGGAGTTTTTCTTTTAAGGTATATTGGTCTAGAGAAAATTCTAGGTTCCTCTCTGGGAAAAAGGAAACGGATGAGTCACCAGGAGAAGAGAGGGACTGTAACTGTGTATTCCAGACAGTACAAACTGCTCTCCCTGCCAACCCCAGCTTCAGAAGTGCTGCAACAGTGCCACCTCCCTGCAGGAGACAAGGGGAACCTCAAAGGAAGAGACTCAGACATCAACCTTTGCTCCTTTCCCCTGGAGGAACCAGCTGTCACCTTGCACAATCCCCATTCAAATTCCTGTGTGACAAAAATTTTATGATTTTTTTTTAAGTGGGAATTGACAACCAGAGGATATCTTGATAACAGTGAAAAGTCTCTACTACAAAAGTAGGTGCTGGGGAGAAGGCTCAGCGGTTACAAGCACTGGCTGCTGTTGCAGAGCACCCAGATTCAGTCAACAGCACCTACAGCTAACAGCCACCCATAACTCAAGTTCCAAGGGAATCAGATGCTCTCTTCTGACCTTGTGCACAAGGCACACATGTGATGCACAGAAAAGGGGGAGTCAGATACGGCACGGGCACTGCACTCATGAACTCACGCCAGCTCTGGTTACCTACCCAAGATCAAGCCAGTCAAAACTCAAGAATGTGTAAGAGAGGAGTTAAGTCCTGCCTCTAACTATGGAACTGTTTATTAGCAGTTCATGACTGCTGGGGAAAAGGGAATTGCTCTTTTTTTTTTTTTAATATATATTTTGTAAGATTTGTTTAACCAGGCCTTGGTGGCACATGCCTTTCATCCCAACACTCAGGAGGCAGAGGCAGGTGGATCTCTGTGAGTTCAAGGCCAGCCTCGTCTACAGTGTGTTCCAGGACAGCCAGGACCACACAGAAACCCTGTCTCAAAAAAAAAAAAAATTATTGTATTTCTTGTGTATGAGTGTTTTGCTACATGTAGCCCATGTGTGTGCCCAGTGCTCTGGGAGATCAGAGGGGGGCTTTAGATCCCCTGTAACTGAAGTTACAGATGATTGTGGGAACAGAACCTTGGTCCTCTGCAACAAGACAACAAGACAAGAGCAACAAGGACTCTTCACCACTGAGCCATCTTTCCGGCCCTGGAGGATCATTCTTTTTGTTTGTTTGTTTGTTTGTTTGTTTTTGTTTTTTTTTGTTTTTTCGAGACAGGGTTTCTCTGTGTAGCCCTGGCTGTCCTGGAACTCACTCTGTAGACCAGGCTGGCCTCCAACTCAGAAATCCACCTGCCTCTGCCTCCCAAGTGCTGGGATCAAAGGCGTGCGCCACCACTGCCCGGCTCATTCTTTCATTCTATTATTATTGTTATTATTATTATTATTTTATTTATATGAGTACACTACAGGTGTCGTCAGGCACATACTAGAAGAGTACATCGAATCACATTACAGATGGTTGTGAGCCACCATGTGGTTGCTGGGAATTGAACTCAGGATCTCTGGCAGAGCAGTCAGTGCTCTTAACCGCTGAGCCATCTCTCCAGCCCGAGAATCATTCTTTTAGGGGGTATGGAGATTGGTAGGTTGCTCATGCTTGTAGGAATTTTTAATCCCAATCTGGGGTTTCTACCTCACCTTTGACTATTTAGTTCCCGGATAAAAGACACACACCACCTTAAATTTACAATAAGCCTTAATTGGCACTAGAGCTGGGCAGTTATCTACCTTTTATGCTATTAAAATCTACTTCCTATCAACAACCCTGAATTATTACTTACTACAGTTCATCTGGGCTGCTCTTAACTCCAATTGGCCAACTCTTGGGGCCATGTTCTCTTGACTCATAACCCTTGGAGTCTTTTCCTTTCTCCTCGCCTTCTTCTCTCCTTCATGGTTCTCCTCAGACTTCCCTGTCACTGCCTGCCCACCACATGGCTCTCTCCGTTCTACCTCCAGGCTCTTCCGTCCAGCTCCTGTCTCACTGTCTCTCTCCTCCAGTCCAAGCTCCAGTCACCAGCTCTCTATTCCTCAAATGCCACACTTCTTTCTCATTAAAGAAGAAGAGTTGAAGAGAGGTGGAAGAGATGGCTCAGAGGTTAAGAGCACTGACTGCTCTGCCAGAGGTCCTGAGTTCAATTCCCAGCACCCATGTGGTGGCTCACAACCATCTGTAATAGGATCTGACACCTTCTTCTGGTGTGTCTGAAGACAGCTATAGTTGTGCTCATATACACAAAATAAATAAATAAATAAATAAATAAATAATAAATAAATAAATAAATGTTTAAGAAGAAGAAAGGAAGGAAGGAAGGAAGGAGGAAGAGGATAAGGAGGAAGCTATTAGCACAGTGGGAGAGATTACAAAGCTACTTATTCTGAGCCAATCAGCAGCCAGACTTTTGACTCCCACTCTCCTCCCCATCACCTCTCCCACCCAGTTCCCTGCCTCCATCCACCATCAATGTCTATTTTATTTCCACTTCTGAGAAGGATTCTACCATCCTCCCTTAGGCCCTCCTTGTTATTTGGCTTCTTTGGATCTGTTGATTATAGCGTGATTATCCTGTACTTTATGGCTAATATCCACTATAAGTGAGTGCATATCATGTACTTTTGGATCTGGGTTACCTCACTCAGGATGGCATTTTCTAGTTCAATCCATTTGCCTGAAAAAAATTATGATGTCCTTGTTTTTAATAGCGGAGCAATACTCCAGTGTGTAACTAACTGAACCACATTTTCTTTATCTATTCTTTGGCTGAGGGATATCTGGGTTATTTCTAGTTTCTGACTATTACAAATAAAACTATGAACATAGTTGAGCAAGTGTCCATGTCTTGCTATGCCTAGGAATGGTATGGCTGGGTCTTTTATTTTGAGGCAGGTGAGGAATTGGCAAACATATCCTGCTGGTCTGGCACTGCAGGACACCAATTAACAATTGAGAATACAGGAGCACACATTCATAGCCAGTTGATAGAATATGTGTGGGGGTAGATTACCCCAACAGGATGGGTTTCTGAAAGAATGCAAAAAATGTCTAGAGCAGTTTTGCAATGTGAGTCAGGAGTGGACAGGGACCAAGCTTTGCAGTGTTCAGGATCGAGGAACACGGGTTAGCTCAGCTTATTCTGAAGTTATGAAAGAAGTAATTACAGGGCTAGAAGTGTAGGTAAAAGTGCTTACCCAGCATGCATAATGAACGCCCCAGATAAAACCCACCCTGGTGGCCCACGTCTGTAATCCCAGCACTGGGCAGGTAGAG